CATGAAGCTCATAGTGCCCAAACAGCGCTGTAAGTAACGCCCGAACCGGCGTCCGGGCAGGGATTGGCCTGGGTGCGGTTGTGCTTTGGGAGGGCTCTGCGGTCTTAGTACATGCTCCTTTTCCATCCTCATCCCCAAACATTGTTAGAATTAAGAAAAAAGTAGACCTGGGAGCTGAGTGCAAATTATTCTGTCTGAAAACCAAAAAAAAGTATATTAGGAACACGATGAACTTGCAATAAGCTCCTTATAAGCATCGCCTGCAATTTTTGGTTGGTTGATTTGGGAGGTGTTAGTGAACTGTCTACATGTTTTGTTTTAAGGTGATGAGTCTCAGACATCTGTATTTGTAACATACTTAAATATGTAAAGTTTGTTGATTAATAGTATGTTTTATTTATTTGATCACAGCTAACTTCTTTATATATAGGTATGGAGCTGTTGAATAATTCCAGTGTGAACTGTACAAGTGAAACAATCCAAATGAAAAAGTACTGTTTCTTTGCACTCTCACTTCACTAGCCTTTCAAATAACGCCAACAAATGTTTGCTTCTTTGTTGAATGTTCAGCATGTTCCGAAAGGCTAATCAGGGATAGTCAGGACCACGGATACCAGCTGCCAAAACTGAAAGATGTTTCTACTCAGTAGAAAGTAGCATGCATTCAGCTACTCTGTTAGTTTTTTTTTTTTCATTCTTGTGAAATGAATACTTAAAACTTAAAAAACTTTTCTGTATAAGTAGAACGAAATAGTCGGAAACAGCCTTGAAGAGCTGCAGCTTTCATGAGGCTACTTATTAGCCACTGCCTTCTCCAGCTTTTTAAATCTTTTTGCTAAGCCACACATACAGAGAACATTCTAGGGGAAAGTGGTATTGAATAATCATGTAGCACTTACAGCACCTGTTGATAGTTAATTTAGTCTTCTACAAATTTAACATATTGGTGAGCAAATCATTCTCTGACACAAACTGGTTTTGTAGGCTTTGTCCAGCTTCACATTTTCATTCAGGAACAAAAACAGAACTTGGACTAACATTTTGATTTGGTGTGACTAAGAAGAGTCAGCACTTGCATATCATACTCTTCATAATATTAAAAACTGTTTTGAAGCAAAGAATAAGGCTTTTAGGGATTTGTGCAATCACTTGCATAAGAAAGAATGAGGAATTTGGAATTTCCTTCCCACCTTGAGGGGAAAAAGAGCTCAGCAGAATAGAAAGCATAGGTGACTGGCTGTATTGCCCAAGATGTATGACAACTGAGTCTTCAGTTGGGGGGGGGGGGTTAAAGAAATGAGGCTTTAATGAAAACCGCAGGTGAGGGTAGTGCTTTGTAGAACTATTTTGTGGGTACTTTCTTTGCTGAATAAAATGCATGAATCCTTGCTGATCTTATCCTTTTTAATTTGTATGGCTTATTTTGGATAAGAATAAATTTGCAATTTAATATTAGTCTTGCAGGAAAGTATGAGAGCATGTTGTCACCAGCATAAAAATTTTATTAAATTATATTCATATTCTCCTGGTAGTACATAGCTTTCCACTGCATCCATCACTAGTGAATACTACACAGTCCTGTTTTACTGGTTTTTGTATTTAATCCTGGCCTTTGCAGATGTTTGCTCTGTGCTTAAGGACATATTGCAAAATGAAGTGCAGTTACCACATGGCATGTAAGACTTCAGTATTGATTGTTGGGTTTGCTTTGTGTGGTGGAAAAGATAATGAGATAATTGGCATTTCCCAGTATTTGAACAAATGAAACCTATCTTTCTGCAGCAATTATTCCTTTAAATCCTTATAAATTATACGTTCACCTGTCCAAAATATTTCCTTTAGCTATTTTTTTTTTTTTTTTTTTTTTGCTTTCTGCCAAAGTGAGGTAGAGTTCTATGTTCCCAAGTCTTTTTCCCTCTGAGAAGGGAAGATTCCCTGTGAAATCCATGTGCTTTGCTGATTAGCCTGTGGTGAGAGAGGATCTGGGACCTAAAATATCTTCCTTTGACTTGCTTTCTGCTGCTTCTGCTGAGAAGCTTGTCTTTGTTTTGGTTTTTTCCTTAGTTGAACTAGATGAGTTGTCAGGTATGTTAGAGTTACGCCAGTTTTCTGGTTCAAATCATTAGTGCAGACCCTTTGTGAGACTATGGTTTATGTTACCTGTCTGTATCACAGCACAGCGTGATGAGTACAGATAAGTATCTGTTATGATGCCTTGCACTGTGTAGCACTCCAGAAGAGAATAAAATAGCGAAACAGTGTGAATTCTGCAAATTTCGAAAGTAGGCTCAAGTATCATGTTGTTCAGTTTAGATGTGATCTTTGAACAGAAGAAAAAGAACAGTTCAGTGCCTTTGTCGATCCCTGTGAAACAGTATTGTAGCCAAGTAAGGACAAAGATTTCAGCATGGCAGTTAACTAGACTGGTGCTTCGCAGCGTTATTCTACATCATACATATGGAAGAAGCCAGCTGGACATCTTAATTCTATTGCTCTTCTTAAATTAAGATAAAGCTTTGGGGTCGCTATTCAAATCAGCATCTTACGTCTCACTCCAAGTCACCTGGTAATGGTTAAGGGTCAAAGAATATGTATTTTGAGGCATTGTGACTGTTTAGCCATGGCAGTTATAATGCATATTAGTTGTCATTTCTAAAGACTTTGAGTTGTAGCTTCACAGTAAAGAATGCTTTTGGCCAATATTTAGGTTGTTACACCTGTGATGTTTGGCTGCAGCATGATTATGTAGTACTACTTGAAGCCAGGTGGAAACTGTGGTAAACCTAGGCTTTTTCACCTGTGGTAATGTTACATATGGAATGCTATGATGATATAGTGTATTTTGGTGAAGAATACAGGAGTGAAAATGGTTTTGGTCTTGCTATTGTTTGACACTGTGAATAAGTACAACATTACTGGTTACCGAAATTTTGTCCAAGGTATTGGAATATCCCACAATCTTTTAATCTTAAGAATTGCTTCAGGTGACATGCTGCTTAAAGTTAGTCTCCAGTTGATTTTAATGGAGGTAGCAGTAAGTGTTATGCCCAGTCCTACTCCTTAGGCAACCAACTGAACTATTTGGTGTGTTGTCGTCCAGCATCCTGTGAGTTAAAACTGCGTATCAGCCTTGCCAGGAAGATAATGCCTTTCCAACAGGGATGGGAAACCTATGCAAATCACTTCCATCAGGCTAGGTGCTTTGTAAGTTTGACTTTTATTTGTCAGCCAGTTTGGTTGGTTTTTAATGAAACTATACAGGCTAGGTAATGACCCAGTCTCCCAGTGCTATCTTCAGAAATCAGTTTGTGGTAATATGACTACGTATGTGTGGATGGTCACAAATTTTCTGGTGAGGAGGTAGACATTCAACAAGGTCTTGCTGCTGAAAATTAACTGGAAGGCTTTGCCTGATATATGTGCATGATTTATTTAGCTCTAGCTTTGTAAGGTTTGAAAAAACTTCCATTACTAAGCAGGTATAATTAATTTTTTAAGCTATCTATTCTGTTTCTGTTGAAAGGAAAACAAATGCTTTCATTTTACAACATGTTTAGATTACTCAAAATAGCTGTAAAGTAGGAAGAAGTAATTGAAAATATGTATAAGCTATTATGTTAAGCAGAGTTGATAATGAGTTGAAACAGGTGCAAGTTTAAACTGGCTGAAAATGTGGATTTAGGTAGAAGGATGTCATTCTCCATTAGAATAATTTCTACAGAACTATATTAAATTCTTGAGATCTTTGGGGGTTTTAGGTCTATTTGACTACAGAGCACTTGGCTGTAACTGCCAAAAGAAAATCGGGGAATTAACTTTCTGGGTTAGAAGACTGCTAGAAATTGCTTAGTATTTTGCCACCATTAATAGCCAATGCTTGATGCTCTAGGGACAAGTAAACTCCCCTCTCCTTTGCATGCAGATTAATGCTACTAGCCAGCAGTCAAGTAAAGATAGGATTACAGGAATGATTTAATTTGGAAATCTGAAGTATTGGCTAATATTTGGCTGTCACAATACTCTCTCATGTTATGTGTGACTCTTATGTTTGTGTTTTTTTTTCCCTGTTCTTGTTTTTGTCCCCTCTTCCAGTCCCAATTAAAACAGGAAGTTCTTAATCATCAAAACATCGCAATGCAAATTAAATGTAAACAAAAGATGTAAATGAAGTAATAGGACTTTGTAATATGTATGTCCAGGAAGAAATGCAACTCAGCCTAAGATGTTTAATCTGAGATATTTGTGGCTAAGATACCACCATTCAAATTATTGATAATGAATGATGGAGATACTGTATCTGTGTTCAAGGAAATACAGGTCTTGTAAGGGAGATGTATAAGCTGAAACAGTTTTGACAAAAGAAGAAACTGCTGCATATTGGTCATGGATAAATCTAGGGGCCAGGTAGAGAGAAGGAAGTTCTAACCAGCAGGATTCAGGCACAGTCTCTTTCTAAGGGTTTAGCTGAATCTCTTTAACCCTTTCTTTATGTTGTGGCTGTTTAAACATATGAAAAGGATTACCCTTGGTTATCCTCTTTAATGGTGGGAAATGTTACTTAGTGACCCAAGAGTTCTCTTTCATTCTTGCTTCCCCTGAGCTCTTGTCCATGTGTGATTTGGTATTTACCCTCCACACCCTCTCCTTATATTGTATGTTAAGCATAAGGTTTTTAAAAATCATGTGTTCAATTCTGATTGTAATATGCCTTATAGGACTAGCCTTATAGGTTCATGCTCTCCAAAGCGTGTGCAGAAACTAGGTAAAATGTGTCATGGAATTTCTCATGAGTAAACCTTTCCCCCAGATAGCACAGCTGTTGGAGTGCATCAGATTACCTAATTATGCAATGCTGTAGATACCTTCTGTTTGCATTGTCACATGTTTCTGCAGCTAAATTTTGGAGTAATGGAGACTTTTATCTCAAAATAACAAACCAGTAAGTAGTTGGTGCAGTTTATTAACATAAGGAGAATTAATTTTCTTAAGAAGATAAGTGGAGTCTTTGGTTTATGCTAGGCTTTAAGAATGCACAATTCATCTTGACACTTTCTGCATCAGTTCTATGGGACCTAGAACTAAATTTTTTAGTGTTGTTATTTTTTGTGACTTACTGCAGTGTAGCAATACAGCAGAATAGTTCTGTTTTCTCCACAAGAATAAATTGCATTGATCCAATAGGTATATTGCATTCTGACTTTGCTGAGAAGAGAAAAATTGGCTCATAACAGTCTTATCAGACAATTTTAGTTAAGTGCATTTTTTACACTGTGAAGGCATTTCTGCAACTTATCCAGTATCTTCATTTTTCGTACTAAATCACACAAGTTTGAATAACTGTTGTCAGCCTAAGATGTGGATGTGATGGATTTTACTTTCCCCACCTTGCTTTCCTGGCATGTAATAACTCAAGAAACTGGACGTTTATTCAAGTTATCAATGAAATGCTAGACTTCCACTTTAAAACAAACAAAAAACCCAAGCAACCCAAACAACAACAACAACAACAAAACTCCACAATTTTCCCCCCATTTTCTCTCAGATCTGTGGAGACTGTATCTACACAAATACTTTCCTTTCTTCTTACCGCCTGGTTGTAGCAGTGAGGGCCCTAATAATTTTGGTGGCATCTGAGTGGTCTTGCTCTCTGTATTCAGGGAGGCAGGAGAGCCCGAGAACACCTTGTAGTCTGCATACATGCTCCCATTAGCACCCCATTCAATGCTGTCAGGAAAGTTGAAGTGTTTAGGTGCCAGCTAAGGTGGCTGCTCTAAAGATGCTGAAAAGAACTGATGGTGCTTTGGTGGTGCATTTTGTTTTGTAACATATTGATAGTAACAAAAGATACGACGAATAAATTACAGAAGTGTTTCTGCTGTCACTCCAGCTGTACAGAATCAGGACTTGTCAGGAACTTTGAGACTTTTTTTTTTTTGTCCTAATTGGTGAACCAGTCAAAATAGTTGTCATATATATTGCAAGTGATTCCAACGGATAGCTAGTGTTAGCAGCTGTGAAGAAAACTGCTGTCCTGCTAACTGAAATATCAGTTGTTGTGGACTGCTCTTGTGCTCTTTATTTATGCTGAAGAAAACTGCTGCTGTTCTAGGAGCAAAGTTCTTTTCTTTCTGCAGCTCTCCATTTGGGTCACAACAAAATGAAAGGAGCTTAGATTCACAGAGGGAATTAAAAAAAAAAGAAGTGTCTTGGTGTTCCTGCTTGCTTTTTAAATGTGAGCATTATGTGTACCTATTCCAAGAACTATACAGACTTGAAATAACTTCATAGTTGTTTTATACAGTACTTATTCTTTGTTAATGATTTAGCTATGACTCCTCAAAATATTAAGATACAAAAGTAAATGTCTTGGCAGTCATTTATGAATAACTCTCAGCTGTTAGTGCTTAACCCTTTTATTACTGGGCCTGTGTTTTGATAGGAGGATGGAATGCTTCTTCCCTCTCTTAAAGATTAAATCTACACTACAGCTTTAAGGCAACTCTTGGTGCAGGTAGATTGTAGCAGATTTTATGCCCTTAATGTAGAATGTTGGAAGTTGACTTAAACTTAGCTACAGGCTGGTTCCATATGACATGGCACAACCATGCTGCTTTTAAAATTAAACTTCCTGCTTGTGTAGTTAAGATATATCCAAGGAGGAAACTTACTGTTCAAGTGGAACAGGTAATTAAAATTCTCAGTAGCTTAAATAAAGATTTGTGTAAATCGCTAATGGGTTTGGTGGCCTGAGCTCCACTTCATTGTAGTGTTGCACAGCGTGGGCCAGACCACTTTTGCTTCAATATTTACCTTGTACTTCCAGAAGTGTTTGAGATACAGGTTAGTGTATGGTAACATATATTTCTTCTTTAAAATGAAGCGTATTTTAGAAACACTTGTTTCAAATTCTTCCCATTTCAGGGAGCTTTCATGCATCTGCATAGGATATATCTTCCCAAACCTCAAATTAGACTTCATTTCAGTGTCTTTGTGTCTTGCAGCTTGTAGGGTATGGAAAAAGAAATTAGACTTTACAACAGGTAGCAGTAAGTGCTCTTGGAAAAACTGAACTGTAAGCAAGCTACTTCATGGGAGTTTATGCATTATGCCTTCCTTGTCCTTAGGGAAAGGGGGGGGGAAATTGATGATTCAATTATTTGGCATACAGCAATGGAGCAAAGTAACTGTTTTAAACAACTGACATTTAAGGATTGGTTGGAGGAGGAGGGTGTATTAACAATTGTGAAATTTAGACTTTTGAATTATTCAGCCAGACAAGAGTGATGCCGAGACCCTTGTGGTAGGAAGTAAAAGGCTCTTCTGCTCCTTTCAGCCTGAAGTTGAGTAACTTAACACTGATCTGTGATTACTTGAAGAGCAGTGTGATCAGAACCTCCTATGCTTATTAAAATCTTTACCCCAAGTTGTTTACATTTAGGTTCACTGGCAGAGAAATCAATAATGCATATGATGTCCATGGTCATGTCCATGTCAGCACTAAGTTGGGATGCCATAGTTGGTCAAATCACATTTCTAGCAAGTCTGACTGATTCTTCCTAAAAGCAAGGAGGTGACTGTCTGACTGCTATTTTAGAAATGGATCTTAGATGTTAGCCACATATTCAGTACTTTCAATTTCTCTAAGAAATATTACTAGCTGCCTCCTTCTGCAGTACCTGCATATTGGTTTTTGTATTCTCACTTCTTATATGCTTCATAAAGTTACCTGGCTTACTATTTAAATTGTACATATGTATATATAAGCAGAGCATCCAGACTGGCCTGGTTCAGTTAGTGTCTTCTCTCTGCATGTTCTCCATAGTGATTTTCTCTTGCTATTAACAGAACAAAGGCTTTGGTAGACATAGGTAGGCTGTGGCAAATACATATATGCTGAGAAGCAAATAGTGGCGTTTCTTGTATAGTTGTGTGATAGGCTAACACATATACCAGCAAAGGGAGTCTGTGCTCAAAGAAAGGACTATCAGTGGTAAATACTGAACTTAAAACAGTTCATTCTCTTTCTGCTAATATATGCAGGTGGTATAGTTCCAACAGAACTACTAGTTCGGGTGGGTTGAAGTCTAGAGATTCCTAGCATAATGGAAAAGTGTTGTGTTGCTGCTCTTCAGAGCCTTGTGACTGTGGAAATTCCAACTGGGCTTGGAAAGGCAGTGGTGGATGTTACGCAGTAGGAATGTGACTTGAGAAATCTTGTTCTGTTTGGTTGTTTCTTCTTCCGCTCCTTAACCTATTTTAAGAATTGGTGACAGGAGTCAGCCTGGGTGAAATGTCTGTCAAGAGATGCTGACCTAAAGAGTAGAATGATTTCCTAGGAAAAAATATTTTCATTTTATTAAAACCTGCTTCTCCAGAGAAGAGTATTTTGAGATTTTTCTTTATTCTTTTTCTTAACTGAGGCTTTATGAAGTCTTAACTTAGATGTTTAATACATGTGAACTGGACATGTAAGTGACCGCCAGCTTTCAGGAGTACATGCTGCTACTGTGACTTGGGCTGCACTGAATTGTTGTTCAGCAAATGTTTTAAGTGATATGACTAACCTGTATATTTATAGTGGCTTTCTCTTTCTTCCTCCCCAACTCCCTTGTCCTTAGCATTTCCATGGTTTGGAATGGATATTGGTGGAACATTGGTTAAACTGGTCTACTTTGAACCTAAGGACATTACTGCAGAAGAGGAACAGGAGGAGGTGGAAAACCTGAAAAGCATTAGGAAATACTTGACCTCCAATACAGCCTATGGTAAAACTGGCATCCGTGATGTCCATCTTGAACTGAAAAATTTGACTATGTGTGGACGCAAAGGAAACCTGCACTTCATCCGCTTTCCCAGCTGTGCCATGCACAGGTTCATACAAATGGGTAGTGAAAAGAACTTCTCGAGTTTACACACTACGCTCTGTGCCACAGGAGGTGGAGCTTACAAGTTTGAAGAGGACTTTAGAACGGTACGTGAACAGTTCATATGGGGTCAGTGGGAAGTACTGTGGGAAGACATCATGGGAGTCCTTCTATTAAAGCTTATGGAGAAAATAACTTTTTTTTTTTTTGGTTCATCCTAGCCGGTTAAGACTAACAGAATCAATTCACATTTGTTAATTGGTGGAATTGATGAGAACATGGAGGGGGTGAGAGGGTATTCTACTTGCTGGGTATTCTACTGAAGTATTAGTGTGCACGATGTCTTCAGTAAATGTTTTTTTAGAGTACAGCCGTGATGATCAGATGCCTCATGATCAGCTGAGGTTGTGTTATGACAACCTAGAAGTCTGAGACTACAGGTACTCATCTTGTAAACTGGATATCTACTGGAAAAACAGAAATGAAACCATACAGACTGGCAACTGGACTCAGGTTCCCTTTGTCTTGTGTTAGTCTTCAAGCAGGCTTAAGTCAAGATTCTGGAAGACCAGGCATGGAGCAGGGGGAGAAACAGTGTATGGAAGTGTGACAAAAGCAGATAGCTTTTATTTCAATTCTGGGAGTACATCATGTGAAGAAAGACAGTTCATGAGATTACTAGGTACCAGATCCCCTAGAATTTAAAAACTTCTGTAGGGAGATCTAGAAGCTGACATAAATCTGGAGTATTGGGATGCTGTTGTTTGTATAAACTTCAGCAATAGTCTTGACTCCAGAAAGAGTGCACTGAAAAATTTGATTGTGGCAACAGAGGCGTAGAGAGCTGTTGTACAAACTTCATTAGAGACAAATAGTCATTCAGTAGGCAGTTGCCTGTTGTGTCTGAGTCTCTACTGGGGTATGTCTCCTTTTTTTTTTTCTTTTTTCCTGTAAAAGAATGACTAGTCTGCCTGTATCAGAGGAGGCTCACTAAGATTAATATGAATTATTTACTTGGCAGGCAGATCTGGCACTTCTGTCCCTAGCTTTTGACCTGATCTTGAGGGTGAGGGATGGCTGCTGGGGCTGACAGGTTATACCAGTTGCTTTTCTGTCTCTGCTTCAGTCTAGAGAGCTATCATACTCATTTACTAACTGCTGTTGACTGCAGTCCTTGACTTTGTGTGCTTCATTTTTTTAACTCCAAGCATCCATTCCTGCACCACAAGAGCTTGGGGTTTTTTTGTCAATACCCCTATGAGTATGATGTCATACTCATGACATCATTGACCGCTATATCAATACCTATGAGATGACCAAGATCCTCAGGGGGAAGGAAAGCGCTATAAGAGATCAACACGAATTCCAGCTGTTACAGTGTTGTGCAATAATTTTCAGTAAATGTTGGACATGAAAGCAGGTAGTTTAATGAAGGACTGTCAAATTTCTGAACTGCTGTAGTAGTCCACTACTAGTGGCAGATTTCTCATCCTTGCAAGTTCTTTACATGTTAGAGTCTACTGATGATTGAGTCCTCAAAAGGAACCGTTTTCGTTTGTCTGACATTGTGTAAGGGATGTTGGGCACCACAGTCTAAGGTGAGTTCTAGTGCTAGTCAGTGTGGCCCCAGTTCAGGTTTTGGAGGATTCTTGCACGTCTCTAGTGACAATGGAAGGTCATTTTGAGACTTTCTGAAGAGGCTTACTATCCCTTTGGAATGGTTAGTCTTTCCAAATTCATCTCTCCTGCATCATGTAGTAGCCACTAGAGTTACTTAGTTAATAAGGAAATTCATGTCCCTTGCTTCCACAGCTGTAGAAATGGACTAGAAGTTACCTGGTGGCTATCACAGCTAGGCATTTCTTTCCACAACTTTGGCCTTATCTTGTGTAAATATGCAATTTACAGTGAGGGACCAGTCTCGCATCTCAGCTGCAATATAGTCATTGTAGCACTGGAAGCCGTAGTTGGAGTTGGAGCTGTTTTACTAGCTATTGTACAAAAATACGAGGTCACATAGCAAATTACTGGTGGACATAGGCATGAAATCCCACATGTCTGCAGTGTTAGTTAACATTCTGTGTGCTGCACCCTTGTACATAGTTTAAGGAAAACACTATAAAGTCTGGCTGGGATGTGTTACAGCATAGAGCAATCGGTGAAGTGTACTCACACCTGAGTGCGTGCTTTGGACACCTTTTTTTTACAGCTATCCAATTCCATACCTTCTTTTAAATCGTGTATTTCTTGGCTCAAACTGTAATATCCATAGGTATTACAGAAGCAAAATACTATCCATTACATAAAGGTTTGCTTGTTTAATATCTCTCAAAGGGCTGAGTGTTGTGGGTACTAGCACTTAAATTGTCACACTTCACTAACCATTGTAACAGCAGCTGGCTATATCTCAGTATGTTCTGCTAATTGTAAATTGATGTTGGACAACAGCTTCAGGATTGCGCTCTCAAAGCATTGTAATGTCTGTTTCAAATATTTGATCTCTCTAGTGCACCTGTAGAAGTGGAGAACATGTGCCAAGTATAATATTCTGCTGTTCCAGTATTCAATATTGTATAATCCTTATATGGAGGAAGCTTTAAATGGTACTGTTTCTATTACTTAGAAGCAGTGTGGAAAAACTAAAGTATGTTTGTGAATGTTGTTAATTTCATAAAAAAAAATCTGGCTAAATGGTAGGAAACTCATGAAACTGATATAGGTAGTGTGCTTTTGTTCTGGCCCTTTATTTCCCCATGTACATGCTTTTAAGTCACTAGCCTTTCATGGTATTTCTAAATGCTTGTGAGAGTTTCAGGATTGCATAGATTTAAGACAAAAGATCCAATATACTGCAAAACAGCATTCAAATCCCAAAGAAGGAATCCTCCTAAGATTACAGCAGCTTTTTCTCCTTAAAATAGACAAGCAAACACCCTGTTATTACTTCCCTGTTCAGTGTCTAATTCTGAATCCCTAAATGAGTTGAACAGATTTGATCTAGGCATTTCTATTGCTTTTGCATATTAAAAAATAAAATAAAATTAGGAGGTGTCTTCCACTTGCCTTAAGCCTGTTTTCTGTGCCATAGAAAGGCAAGTAAATCTACAAAGCTAGGTAGGTTTAACTATCTGACCTCCCTCTCGTGATCCACAGTGATGGATGGGAGGAGACCTCAAGAAGTCTCCATGGACTGCTTGGTGACTGCCAGCAATAATGATCAGTAGCCTGGCAAATTGATTCATTCTTAAGACCTGAATGCTTCCCCTAAAAGTAGAAAAACTGACTCTAGTCATTAAACTGGACCACAGAAATAATTTTGCCAACCATGTGGTTATACTTAATGTTCATTGAAGAGCATCAGTAAGTAATTCACTAAAAGAACTCTTTCCAGTTTAGGATTTTTTCTTGTTTCTGTTTTTTGTTTGTTTCCCATCCCCCCTGCCCTTTCTGAATGACTGGTCTTTATGACTGGCTGACTATTTTCAGGTAACAGTGGTGTTAAGGCGTGGATGAATCTGTCTCCTAATTCTGATAATCCTCCCTCCTTTCCACAACTCTGTAATGTCACCTTGCATGTTCTGTAAATGCCTAAGTGACATCACTTCTGTAAAAGTAAGGAGAACGTAGGCTTACTTGCTTGTGTACCTGTAATATAAATCTCTTTATACTCTGTGACTCCTCCATGATTGCATACGCACATTACTTGCACGACAGTATGCTGTTAATGTAATGAGGAATAAATTCTTAGGCTGTCGCTCAGTTTTCTAAAACACCTCAATGTAAAGGATACATGGGGGTTGAGGGAATAAAGGGCTATTCAGACTTTTGTCTAAACCTGCTCTATTGCACAATTCATGTCGATTGCAGTGGCTCAAAGGTGGGGTCTCTGTATTCCTTTCCTGAACAGACACCTACAGAACCTGGCTAGTCTTGATAGAAATTTTACTGCTGGCTTCAGTGGAAGCAGGGCCTGGGCCAAAAACCAATCACATAATAAAGAACATTTGGGACAGGGGAGGAAGGAAATCTGTTAACCAAGACAGACTTAAACTTAGGCCTTGACCTTCCCCCTAACCTGTAAGAAAAATGCTTTAAGAGTAAGCTTGGCTGTTGGAGAGTGATTTCCTTGTTCCAGTTATTACCTGATTCTAAGGCTTGACTTTGTGATATAAACTGAATGCTTGTGGATGACTTGTAGACTGTATTTGTCTTAAATAAACTCACTGTCTGGTGGTGTAGGATGAGTGAGCTGTGTAACTCTAGGTTAGTGCAAGACACTCAAAAATCTTGTTGCACCTCACTTGCTTGAGGAGGCTGGATGCTGCTGCTCAGGCTCTGGGTGCTGGCCTGTAGTGTGTAGACTGGGCTGGAGATGAAAGTGGCATCCAGAGAACAGGTGAAGTAACTGCTACCATCACTGTAGGAAGCTGGGATACTCTTCAGAGGGAATGGGGAGAAGCAGTGTGCATCTCTTTGCTGTCAAGAGGGGGAACAGATCCTTACAGCCAGCTGGGCAAGAGGGCAAATCCTCTGCAGACGATCCCAGATTAGTGCTTTTTATTTTTTTTCCCCAAGGGTGATGCAGAGTATATTCTATTCTGCATCAGTGAATGTTGGGCTTACCCTTTATTTGCATTAGACTTTGTCTTGTTTGAATGTGAATTTCCCAGCCTCAGGGTGTGGAACAAGCTGGGGGGAGTACCTTTTCTGAGCTCGAAAGGAGGCAGGATTGGGGGTTGAGGTGAAGACAATCAAAATGTAAAAAAAGCAAAGTACATCTTAATGAAAGTGAAGGAGAGACAATGGGAGGGGCATGGAAGAAAGAGCTAGAGCGTGAGCTATTGTAAGAAATAAAAACTGGAGCAATGCCCAGAAGGCATATAAAAGCCAGAGTGATACAGTAAATGAGGCCATTATAATTGATAATTAAAAACTTGCAAGATGTGATGTTCCTAACAGTTTCTTACAGAAAAACTTTCGTATTTCTGACTGAAAGTCCAAGAGATGAACTCAAAATTGCATCTAAGTTTGGCCATTCCTGCACTTGCCAGCATTCGATAACAGTTTGAAAATTCAAACTGGGTGAAATCTTTTGTGAGCTGGAGCTTCGTTGAAAAGAGATCTTCATACCAATGTTGATCCATTAGGCTTCAGCCTTGCTGCATATATGTTATGGCTGCCCTTAGCACACTTCTAGGGGACTGACCTGTTTCATGTTTTCCTTGCTGAGGTGGAAATATTTACTCACCCATAAAAAGAAACAAACATGACCCAAGTCTTTGACCTCTGTGTTTCCATACACTTCAAAGCAGCAGGAAGTTGCTAACATGTTTTTTTCCTTTTATACTGTCTGATACTTGAAGACAGCTAAAAATTGTTTGACTTGATGCATATTAGTTAAAAACAAAACAAAATCCACCCCCAAAAACCAACAAAACCAACAAAAAGAACCCCAACAAAACAAACTAACTTGAACAGATGGTACAGTTTTCCAGCACTCCTTGCAGGTGTACAACAAGAGGTCTTCGTTCTCCTTAGAATAGCATCTGCACACAGTAACAACAGACCTTTTGTGTATCCTTGAAATCAACTGGGTTTCAGGAGTTTACTGTCACAGGGAAGTGTTCACTGCTTTGTTGCTGTGTTGCACCTGCTTGTAAGCGTGGTTAAAGTTCTGAGTCTCTCCTTTTGATGGTCCTGAAGAGTTACTTGAGGTCCAAAGTGTTTCGTTCTCCCACCTGCCCTGATATTTAAAAAGCAGTCTAAACCAAAGAGGAATTTCTACAGTCTGACTATAATGCAGAAAAATTACTCTTTTTTTAAAATGTGCATATGGTTTCCCTGTAACCATCATAAATTTTCCCTCCAGGGTCCTGTATACTACTTTGTTCTGCAGTTCTTCCTCTCATAGCACAGCTTTCTGATATAAAACTTTCCTAGAGAGACACTGTGCTGAATATAGTTACAGGAGTGCAGAGCAGGGTAAGTTGACCATTATGTTGTCTGCCCTCACATGAGGGACTGTAAAGGACTGGAAAAATATCTGCAAATGCATTTTGTAAAAAGTTGTAGGAAAAACATCCAATAAAATGTGCTTCTACATATTGCTCTTGTTTTTGTTTTGCATTTTTGCACATAAACTTCAGTTCCTGCAAGGAGAAGTGGTTTGAACAGCTGAAAGATGAGAACAAATAGAGTGTGGTAGGTCAGGTGATGGTGCCAGAAAAAAAGTTTGCTTACTCATACATTAGTTACTATGTTTACAGGCACATCTATTTTGTATTGCAGTTTTGCTGCTTGAGTTATTGTGAGCAAAGAAATGAATAGAGAAAAGGCAGTTCTGTATGCAGTGAAAGGGACTGGGAACTGTGATCCTGGCTCTATCATGGCTTCTTGTACAAGACTGGGTTACTACACTTCTTGCAACTGTGCCCTAATTTGTGTTTAGAAACAAAACCAATGGTGGCTCACTGGGCTGTTCAGAGCCTCAGAGGTCTGGTGACTGCAGAGCTCACAGTTCTCTGAAGGAAGGCAGATTGATGTGGAATACTGATGCCTGTCTTGCTCCTTCCAAAAATGAAAACCAGACTGCTGCAACAACACAGGAAAATAGTTTTCAGCCTGCTCTGAGTATCATACATGAAAGAAAGCAGTAATTTTCTGTATATAGTGTATCAGCTGTTAAATATAGCAGAGGGCTATAAAAAGCAGAACAAATTCTGGTATGTCTTTTATACATGGAGGGCTGGACCTAATAAAACTTCTATTCTTAGTGCTTGAAAAAGAACCTTTGGTTAGTTTCTTTTGTTCTGTCCTTACAAAATTGGTGAACTGACTGAAAAGTTTGTAGAAACAAGGATTTTGTCTTGTTTTTTGCGCTGAAGCCAGAAGTGTTTTACTTTTAGATTTGTATTGCTTGCTTATGTCTTGCAAGGTCTCTCACTGATGCTTGCCTATTTATAAAGGTGTAACATGGATGAGACAAAAGCACCTTGTGGCTGGGTATTTGGCTTATGGGAAAATAGAGGTTTCGACAGTAGGGGCCATAAAACTGCTAATGACTTGTCTTTGTGTAGCAGGCTTCTGGTTCATAGTGTGCTCTTTGCGCATGCTGTATCTGTGTTAGGTCACGTTTGGTCATGCTACATCTGGCTTATACAGTAAGATGAGAACTTTAAGACTGTAAAGCACGTAACCTAGAGAAATAACATGTTTAGTATAGAATTTTTCCTTATTTTGACTAGCTCTGAGCAATGTTAGTTGTGTTTTAACAAAATAAATAAATCCTCTAACAAGTGATGACTTAATGGGTGCCATACAATATCCACTGTGAGAAAGAATTCATGAAGCATTTATTATGTTAATGCATTGTATTGTATATCTCTTGATTGGAGCTTTTCCTCTCAGTCTAATAGTAAGAAACTGCTGAAATCCAAGATATTTGCAAAGTAGCCTTAAGATTTTTGTAATGTTTCTTTAAAAACCTATTCTTCTGCTTTGTGTTTATTCTTTTTATTTGCTGGCTAAATTGTTCAAGTCTTTTATGCTGCATTTCTATAATTGTAATTTGTGTAGCCATGTGGTAACCAAGAAAAAAAATATGAAGGGATTGCAAAAGTTATAGGAGGAAATACTGAAACAAGAAGTTATTTCCACCTGTCTCTATTGTCCTATGAATAACTGGATCTATACTGAGTTCTTTAAGACTGCTGGTTTGCTTTTTGATTTTGTGGTTTGTTTTTTTTTCCTTATTTCTTTTCTATGGTTCCAGGATTTGAGGACTAGCAAGTACAACAAAAGGGCAGACCCAAAGAGTAGAATGGCTTTCAGTTAAGGCAAGTTAGAGCTATGTGCAACTAGAGAAAAAACTGAAGGGAGGAGATTTAAATAGCTAAAAAGAATGTAACCTGTTGGCCATGACTGCTCCACAGAAATATCTTTCCTCTTTGTAGTGACTTAATATATCTTCCAGAATTAAAAACAAGAGGTAGTTAACCTTGTAAATCTTCTCCGTAACCTGTTATAAAAACATCCTGCAATATGCAAATGTTTGAGAACCAGCTCTGTACTGTATAACTCCTTTTTTGTTCCTAATACCCTGTTGCTTTTTCTGCTAGGAAGTGGAGTTAAGTAAGACCTACTTTGCAGGTATGAGGCTGAGAATGACCTCAGGGTTTGGACAGGCAACTTT